TTCGTCATAATCCGTAGCACAAGCCCACTTTGGTGGTCCTTCTTAATTGGGAACACATTTCGGAATTCCGATTAACGTTCCATCCGATCGATTACTGGCCGTAGACTGAATGGTCGACTCGTGACCATGCGTTATTGAAAATAAATCTGATATGCGTGTGCAAACATTCCTAAAACTAAGCAGTGCAAAACATCGGTGGTTTGCAATTCACAGGGCACGTACATATTGATCGTAAGCAAACAAACTGTGACTACTTTCGAAACACTCTCTAACGTGTTCTCCAGCTTTCTGACAATTAGTATTTTCAGCAAAGAGAAAACAAAAGATCCGTAAAATCCTTTGGAAGTTCCAAATTTTTCCTGTCATGAGCAATATTCTTAAATCTGAGAAGCTTGTTGAATTGGACGGTAAAGATGTTTTAATGTTCACACTCGATAAGAGCCGGTAAGAGCTCATGCCATATTTGTTTTTTTATTTATCCCTCATAATAGGTTAGGTATTAAATTTTTTTATGTCTCGTTTCAAATATATTGGTGGCTTTTGTGTTATGACGAAAGTGACTGCAAAATAACATATAAAAACTTACATAATTCGATCAGTGCATCAGCAGGACAAACTAGACAATTGACGCTACGCATTCTTATTAGAATTTCTTGTAAAGATCTCGCCTGAAGACTCAGAGGAATACTTGCACATCAAATCCGAAATTTATGTGTTCAGGTTCTCATATACATAACTCCGATGCCCACTGCTTAGACAAATTCAAGACATCAGCTTACTGGTTTTCTACAGATTCCTGCTTTTAGTGCGATACCGTTTGGTATACTGTTATAAACAAGATTCACCGAAAATATTTCATCAATAAAATTTCAGCTGCTTGGTTATAATCCCCATTTAGACTGATATATAACGAGCATTACTTATATGCTCACTATAGGAGAATATACAATTTTTGATCTCAAAGTAAACGTAAAATACTAAAAAGACTTTGCTTCCATTCTTCAATAGTGCTGCACAAAAAACCAAAGACGTTTACGGCAGCAAGATCGAAATAAAAATGATTATATCGCAGTATTATATGTCACATTTTTCGGTTATTTCTCGCCTGCTGAGTCGGTGAGTCTGAGTAAAACGCTGCGCTTTTCGCATTTTTAGGCTTCCATTTAAAATTTCCGACTACTTAGCAGATGCAGTGCATAGAAATTAATTTGACGAACTTTGTCGCAATATAGGACCTGTTTTACGTCAGGCTTTACGAGAGCGATGACTGTTTAACAGGACGACACAAAGAACTTTAAGGTTGTACTGCAAGAACCGAAAATAGATATCCCTCTAATCCCATGACCATGTACTAGTTCCCTGGGAGATTAGGCTCGGTAATAAGGTTAGGCTCAATGTTTGGATTTCGGGTTCGCGTTAGAGCTATGGCTAAGACATGGGAATACGGCCTTTCCTGGGATTTTGCGCAAGGTCGCCAATATTACCCGAAAGTTCGTAGTGCCGTGGCTTACCGCTTATATTAAGATGTTACTGGTTTCCTTCCTTTTGAAGAACAGATGAGAGTAGCACTGCACAAGCCAGCTCAGCATTTTCCTCCCTTCGTGCCCCTTCATGTAAACCGATCATTAACGATATTGAAACAGTTATCTGGGCTTCCGTTAACTTTCCATTCCACTGTTCAGTCGGCCCTTAATTAATACGCAAAATGTGACCGCAGCATGCTAAGCAAAGTCGTGTTTTTTGGGGAGTTACGAAGGGACAGCCATGGGCGAAGTTCCCCTCCACCATTGTGAGATGTTGAGATGTGAAATCTTGCAATCGCAGTCATTGCTTGCATGGTAAAACAATAGATTTTCACTCATTATACCGGTCTCTTCGTTCACTATTTCCTTCCGCTAATGCCGGGAAATCAAGCTAAACAGATATTTATTCCAGACAATGAAAGCGTGCGCCTGATTTGATTTAGGCGGTCCCATGCTGTCCCAAATGCCTGACGACATATATACTTATTGTTGGAATGATACTGCTTATAATTAAAGCTTTTCGATTTGCACTGATTGTAACTTGCTTTAGAAAACGTCAGAAAAATCAGCGCGCCCATGGATAGCTTCCGTTCCTGAACCTCTCAGGCGTCACTATTTGCTGTCAAGAGTCAGTCTGGTAAAGCTAAAGTAAAGACATCTTTATGTACCCCCTTATTGTGATTTTAATGTGGGCTTGATTTGTCGAATGCGTTAACAGGAAAGCGTAACGGCTCGATCCGCGTCTTGAGCGGCACTTTTTGGCCCAAGAATGACGTGAAGTTCCACGATGGCAATTTGGTCATTTAATTGCTAGGTCGAGAAGAGTCAGCTAAGGTAGCGAAACGTGCATTTTTATATCCAAAACACACTATTATCCATGAAGCCAGAAACGCCGTCACCAGTTTCTCGCTATTTATCAGTGAGGCATTTTTCAAAAGCGTAGCTGAATAGTCAGGCTGGAGGAGTGCTGAAACAGCTTTCAAAATCAAGACCAGCCTTTTCGTGCTATGACCTAAACGGATATGGAGTTAGATCTGTCGAAATTTTCGCCCGTATTATTGGGGTATGGGTAGAAACTGCACAGAATACTGGTTTTCCTTGCCTCCTGAATCCAAATTGTCGCCAGGTCGACACTGCAAATGCATGAAGTGGTTTTGGTGTATATCGACGGGCTAAGGGTGTTGCTTTGTTAGGATCTCCAGCTTAAAGTAGGTAATGTGGTTTCCCTCATTTTCAGAAGTAATTATATGTGACTCTAGCCACCAGGTGCAGGCCAGCGCGTTTCTTGCCGCAAATGTATTAGTACGGTAGCAGAGCTTCAGTGTTTTACCAAGGCATTCTACGGTTGATTATCCCAACCTCATGTAGCAAGTCATTAGGCATTATTCCCTGGGACAGCATTGACGGGCACAGTCATAAAAACGGACTATCAGCATTTATCACACCACTTTCACACTTTCACTTATAATATTTCTGTGGCAAATCTGTCGTGGAGGTCAAGACAAGTCTAAAAACTTTAAAATCGGATGAATAGTTGTTCCTTATTCGAAAAACACCAGAAGCTGCCTACTGCAAAAAAGTCATGTATCAGTGACGCTTACTGGAGTTGCCAATTCGCACAAAACTGCCCGGTTAAAATAAAGAAGTGCATCTTCGTCCTGTGCGGGTGGGTGACTAGTTAACAGGCGCTATTCTTTTAATGTTGCAATTTCTGATATGTGGGCTAAGTATTCAAAATTACTGTCGAGTTTTACGCAAAGTATTGACTTGAAAAAGTACTGATGCAATATGCTTACCAGACCACACTCTTTAATACCAACTGAGTTTGAAACCTCTGGTTCCTGCTGAACCCAAGGTCCTTGATTTTCTGAATACATGGAAGATGACCCGCTCGACGCCGCTGTTGCTGGTGACGGTATGCTCATATAGTTTGCGGAAAATTCCAAATTTTCTAATATACAGCTCGAGTTGCTCCTGTGTTTCAACGAAAAGAAATAATTAACATTTTGTCAGAAATTCCTCAGGAGATTTTTCCTAAAGTGCCGCCGAATGGCGCATTAATATTTGTCTTATACTGCTGGGCAAAGCGCAATTTGAAAAAACTCTACCAAAGAGGCATATTAAGCTTGGGCCTATTTTAAGTTTATAAACCTTTGTAACAAACCGAAAAAATAACCTACGTCTATCAAGACAGCAAACACATATAGCTACCATCTTCTTCATGAGTGCAATACAGTTTGAAAATATAAATAAAGCAGGTTTTGTGAGAATTGGCGTTTAACATCTTATTGCTTAGTAGAAATTTGTAAATAAATTGCATATTTGAATGAAACGCCGGAAAATTTCGCTAGCTTTATGCATAGTGAAATAAATGCAGTAATCCCTCACTATGTCGCGCTTCGAATTTAGTGACTTCTATCGCGGAATTTTCACTGGTCCGCTGATTTCTGCGAACAGTGGGCACTATTATTTCTGATATGTGTTGCCTGAGTAGATTAACCTAGTTATTTTTACAAAGAAGTGGTCATTCGTGGGTTGCTGTGAAGCTACTCCATGAAAACACGCGGTTAAGGATGTAGTATATGAATGGTGTGCTTACATGCATACTATCAATGATTTTTAGTTGATGTTCAGGAGAAAAAAAGACTTTGTGCTGCATGACAGTCTGCAAAATGCTTATAAGGATATGCGTGGGTTCATAGAGACACGACTGCAACTGTTGAGATTAGTTTTAACCGCTCCCCTACTTTTCTATTATCGACCAAAAGAGAGTGTGTGTTTCTCGGTTTATCCGCTGATGCTAACCGGCGGGTTATAGGCATTATGGCGTTTTATCAAGCAGAACTGCGGATAACAATGTAAAATATACTTTATAAGGAAGTTGGCTGGCAAACGTCACAGACAATGCCAGTTTAAGGCATTATTCTGTATTGTATGCACACGGTTCAGATCCTTCGCTACCAGGCGAAAAAATAGGAAATTCCAGAGATGAAGTATAATAGCATACCCGTTTCGCCTGATTTGACCGTGGTGGCGTGTATATAATCAATTAGGCAGAATCACTCAAGCAAGGAAAGTACTAAATTGTGCGTCAGAACGGTAAGATTTTGATTGCGTGAGCGGTGGGGAAGATAACTAAGAAAAATTTAGAAGACTTTTAGAAAATTTTAATTTTATTGCTGGCATTTCTGGTCATCCGTTCTACTGCTCCTTGTATATTATTACAAACTGACATGGTTTAATTAGTCTGTTTTAGACAAAATGTTACAACGGTACTCAAGTGGTTTCCGATTTTGCGATCGGCGAACTGGCTGTGACGGCTCAAGACTGCCGTGAAAACAATGCCATTATAATACTATTGCACGCAAAGGAAACCACGAACAGGCAATTAATTTTGTTGGTTCTGGGAAATGGAAAACAGTAAAAGTGATTTTTCCTAAAATATTGATCAGTATTTCTTCTGTTAGCTTCTACTCGATGCATTGGTATCTGTGAGCATCAAACGTCTTACCTTGTACAAGCAAGTTTAATGGTAAATTCCTCCGCACACACGGGAGGCATCTCCGATAACCTAAGATGTCTTTTAGCTCTTCGGGTAGAGAGGTTTATGTCAACCGATAAGTGTTTTTTACATGCTGCCTCAAGTAGTTTTCTGTTTTAAAATACGGAAGTGGTGTTCTAGCACCTACAGCTAAACTTTATACAGTGTGTAACTGCGCCGATCAATTAAAAAAGACTTCCGACAAATTTTACAAATTTTGGGAGGTGAAGTTATCACGTAAATTACTGCGTCCAGAGTCAATGCGATTAGCATTATTTGCTTAAGCTTATCGATAGTCTCAGCGCTTGGTAACTTACGAATACGGTCTATTTTGAAAACAGATATTCTGAACCAATATTCCTATTAGTTGTTGCTTGTTTTCTGCCTTCAATTTTGAGAAGCGAATTCTTTGACTAAGTACCTGCTGGTACAACTTGCATCAAAACGACCATTCATCTAGTTAGAAAACAGATGAAATTGCAAAGCCTCATAATAATACTTTGATATAGTTTGATTTTGCTTTCATGGTACATGCAAAGGGCGTTTGACTCAGATCTCATATGTTTTACTTCAGCTCACTACAATATATGGAGACGAGGTCTCCTTAGACACATAGTGACCCATTTCAAATGCCGTTTATTGATACATTGCTAAACAAAAGCAAATCACCACTGCAAAAACGCATTCTTTTCTTCACCATCGGCGTTGTGTGCGACTTAGCATATCTGAAAATGTAAAATTGAAAATATACGTATGTGAAACGCGGGATCAGTAACCCCCCCCGTAACAAAGGTGGTCTTACACTGAATTCCAAGGAGAAAAACTACTGTCATGTTCTAAACCTTACCATAATACTAGTCTTACTCTCGAATTTATTCCTGACCTCAAATTTAACTTCAACTCTTAACTCCCCGAACTTCAACGCAGTGCTACCTGTATTATGGGAGACCTCCTCAGGCATTTGTCTGCAAAGATTCTTTATTTACAACACCTCTGCTGTCGGTTTTATGTAAATTTTCTATCGAATCTTTGACACCTTTTCTTTTGCTTGTTTGAGTGTAAGAAGCAGTTGGTTCGAAGTATTTGAATATTCAGAACGAAATATTTGCCCTAGGCTGTGCACGTAACTTGAATCCATCTCAGTCCTCTTTTTTGTTGGACAAGTTGGGAATACAAGTCTTCGATACAGAAAAGACACGTCGCAATGATTCAAGCGCAGTATACCTCTTGTAGCGATAGCTCTGACCCGATTTTGTGGTTTATGCAATGAACATACCCTCAAAATGTCTCTAATAAATCAAAGCACAACGGTCAACGACTAAGCAGAATCACTAATGAAAACGCTCTGATAGCAGCTATAACTGCCGGTAGATGGCTTTTGGTGTTAGTCGAGAATTTTGTTTGAATCAAAGGTCCATCCGCGAGGATAAAATCGCGGCTGCGGTTCTTAAGAAAGCGGACCCTTGCCTAGAAAAATACAGGGTATTTTTCACTTTTGTTTCTGGGGTAAAAATTCTCTTCAATATGCATAGGAAAAAAATAGCTATCCTTGGGCAAACAAAAGATCCACGCGCGCATGGTTCGGGGAAGACAGCGCGTTTTTTGGTATCAGGGTAAAATGTGGCAGATTTAAAGACCTAACCTGGAGATACACAGTCGCAACAAACCATGACTTCCAGTCATCTAGAAATATTTCTTCGTAAAGGCGAGGAGACAACACTTCGCCAAATTCGAACTAGAACGGTGTATTTTATATACAACCTACGCAAAACGTGTGAGCTAAATTACAGCCTGCAGCTTCCAAGAAATACGACAAAACATTCCGACCGAATGCGTGCTTTCCGTAAGGTAAAAACCCGCAGTCACAAACGACCGGGAAATGTCAATAAAAAGTCTATTTTTACCATAGGCGAGGATCGCTAAAATTATGTCTGAAGTGAGGACTACAGGAAAGTGGTATTAGTATCTGGAATGACGTATTTTAACCTAAACTTTTTAATAGTCTTACGTCCCACAAACTATGATGAGAATTTGAAGACGTTTGTAAGATTTCTATCTATCAAAGTATTTTGGAAAACAGCCATTACACGAAAACACTTGTCGACATCGAAATTTTCATCGGAAAACACGACAAAAACGTCAACGTCTTGAAATGTGCAAACAGACAAACAATTATACGCTTTTGGAAGAGGCGCGAATAGTGGTTTTTGCTTCACGCTGCCTGAATTATTCAAAACAGAAAAGATACCATCCGTTGCATAAGTCTATTTATACCGCTTTCTTGCCAAAAGATTCCCCGCCTACATTAATCGTCTTATTTTTTACAGCCATAACATTTTTTAGCTTCGCAAATACTGACAGGCTCAATGTCATTCGCCTTTCTTGCCACGCAGAAAAGAGCGTGGAAAAAAATGGCTCGATAGTCTACTGTAAGTGGCAACTAATGTTCTTTCTGAGGAACCAGAAATTCCCAAAGTGGTTGCAGACACCTGCGGTAAGACCGATCCATTTCCACTTACATTCTAAGCAGGGAAAGTGCACATTACAATGCATGATCAACTGATCGCATTTTGATTATGACAACTTCAACAACGCATTATAATCTTGTGTTTAAGGAGCTATGTGAAGAGTAAAAATACACTATGACGTTGGGGAGAACTAACCAAACACTGGCCTCGTGGATAGTGACTAGTAAATTGTTTCCTGATTTAATTTGATCGAGGTCATCAATGGCGTGTTTCTTAATGCTGTTTGTGAAAAATTCTTCTATTTTTAGATAAATTAAATCTAACCAACTCTAATAAACCCGATTACAGTATATGTACTGACATACAAAATGTTAGCTCAGATTATGCAGTGCATTTTCGACATGAAAAGACTACCTGATAGGGTTGTAGAATTAATTGCCGTGCAGCATAATCTCAAGATATTTTAGTTACTTCAGGATGTCGACTTTTGAACGGAAACGTTGTCGGCCGCCGATAAAAACTACACTCTGTGAAAGTGAATATTTAACTAAAATGAATTTTTCTCTATGATATCCTTTGGTTTTATAAATTTCAATGATTCATAGAAAACATGCATAAAATATGCATTATTGCTCCGTTTAACAGAAAATTGCGTTTGCTTTAAAATGTATGTATGAGGGAAGAGTACAATTCGGTTTAAAAAAGCTTGTCTGGTCCCCGAATAATTTTGAACGCGAGTTGCCATTGCACTTGCATGAATGTTCTCTAAACTGCAAACCGTTTGTTTTCGGCGTATGGAAAATCATACATTGCTACGCGGCGTTAAGAGGAGAACATATGCTACTCATAACATTTACAGTTGATTTAAGTCATTTTGTAAACTTTAACAGTAACAGTAGTGAATGGAGAGACATTATATTTTATGAGTGGGTATTTCACGGTTTTAAATATATTTAAATAAGAAACTTTTTTAACCCGAATTTTACCCTTCCCCTTAAGCATAAAATTTAAAGAACATGTAGATTTTCATTAAACGAACAAAGAAGTGCATATTTTGATCAGGTTTTCCATGAATTATATTTCAATTTATAAGGACATCGAAAAAATTGGAAACATTATCTTACATGAGTAGTCGTTTTTTACGGAGTGCAGTTTTTGAAGGCGACTGGAAAAAAATTCATCAATAAGCCGGCGTTCTGAGGTAACTGACTTATCTAGGGATTATGGTGCACGGTGGTAATTTTTATAACCCTACTTAAGTAATGTTTTTAAGTCGAAAACGCATTTCAGAATTTCGAATAAAATTTCATAATTTAGCGCATCTACTGTATGAATAGTACAAAAGTTTCAGGTTTTCGTCTGTGAGTCTTATAAAGCAAACGAAATTAAATTTAGTGGGTAACCGAAGACAAATTTTTTCGTGTAATTAACTCTTCTAGTTCGGTTTCTGATATTAGGTAACTTCCCAGTTTTCATTTAGAAAGGTCAAAATGATTTTTACTTAGCATACATATTTCTTGAGTTTTTGTCTTGAAGATCCAAAGAGTTACGGTAAACTCACTCAGCCATATTTTATCGGGTAGGCACGAAACATATTAACAAAACTAACGCATGTAAGATAAAGCCGCATCTAAACTGTAGTTGTTTAATTTAAGATCGGCACTCTCAGTGACAACAGGAATAGTATGTAGATATTAAAAGAGAAGCCTTGCATTCACTTACTCGTCGTACTTTTGTGTCTCATTTCCAACGCAACGTCTGCTAAGACAGTCTGTCTGCGCTGTCGTCTGCTCTCCTGACGTACTTCTAGACTCTGATTCCTTTCCTAATTTGCCAATATTGGAAGAGGTTTTGGGTGTCCTATTAGCGGGTTGAGCTTCTGCCTTAAGCTCCTTTGCTGGATCGGGCGAAAGAGCCCCGTCAACCCCCAGCCCTATTTTGGACATCGTAGTTCCCGCCATCATCATAAGCTCAGCCAAGCCCATCTCAGCAGTCATTGCTTTGCGCTGCAGATGGGCTGCCACATTATATATGCGGACGTACAATGATGTAATAAAGACGAGCGGAATCCAGAAATAGCCGACAGTAAGTAGGGTGTTAAAGAGCGTAAAATGTGTGAAGGGCACATTGCAGGCTGTTGGTGGAGGTCGTTCGTCGTCCGTGAAATGGTACCATCCAAAAATCACTGTTGTCCACAAAGCTGTTGGGAGAATCCAACTAAGTGCAAGCATCACCTTCAACTTGATAAAATAAAAAATATAGATTTTCAATTTCTTCCCGAAATATACATGAAATATAAACAAAAATCGCCCGAAATCAATTTTACATTTGAATATTTGGTCACATTTATGATACCCCCTTTATCAGATGCATATTGTTAAGTGTCCTTGCAAGGGGACAAGTGAAGTAATGGAGGTTCAAGATATAAAATGCTCCTTTAAACTGATATATCATGCCAGTCAATGTTTAATACGCTGTGGCATATTCTCCGAATATTTAAGGTGCAAAAATGAATTATACTGCATTACAACTTTTTAATTTATCGTACGTGGCCAGAACAACAGCAGGAGTCCTGTTTATTCATATTAACATTGCGCATAAATTTAAGCAAATGAATTCACGCGTTCATGCCGCTAGAACAAATGTCGTCCTCCTCTTAAAAACACTGATGTGGCTCAATTCTTGCTCAGGCATCTGCAAGTTTGGGAACCAGTAGCGTCCTTCTACTCGACCTCGCATGATTCGTCATGCTCCCTGACCATTTGTTATTTCCGTATACACATCTCAACATTTACGTCCGAACGAATAGTATATCTTGAAACAAGTAGAGTTAAAATGCAATAAAGATTTAGAAACTTTATGAAAATGTAAGATAGCTTTGAATGGCTGCCAGTCCCAATGACACATTACTTCATAAAAACACTCCTGTAATATCTAGAAAGACGAGCAGATATCACTGGGGGCAAAATGTTTGCAGATGCACGATACTGTTTCCCGGCAAATAATTAATTTTTGAAAAGGGTCTTCTATAATCTGCACTCTTTATCACCTTTGACTGATTCTTATACAACCCCAAACCTTGTTTTGTTTACAGGTTTAAGTATTTTTGCTTAATCCTTTGCTATTTTACCCAGTTGTTTTTCATATGCATCCTCTCCGCGTATATTATGAGTCAACCATTTTGACGCTCAAGTTTGCGCAACAATATTTGTAAAATAAGGCATAAGCAGCCCTTTTTTATTCATTTTATTCGATCAGATGGACTTAATTTAATCCCCTCTGAGTGGCTGATCACACACAAAAATACAATCTTCCACAATAATGCACTTGCTTTCTTGGCTTAGCCTCACTCAGATGTAATGAAACCATGTATTGTTTTTTAAGAAGCAAATGTTCAAAGATCGAAAAACTACGGGGTATCAACTAAGAAATCATTTTAAAATGTAAAAATACTAAGCAGCCTGACACTGACTTTGTTGTCTGTCCTCCAGTTGCGGTAACGGACGGCGTGTGTTACGGACAAATACCGGTCAATAGTAATCATAAACACTGTCACCTGACTGACAAAGCATAGCGTA